CCGGCTAGTTTTTTGTATTTTTTAGTAGAGATGGGGTTTCACCGTGTTAGCCAGGATGGTCTCGATCTCCTCACCTTGTGATCCGCCTGTTTTGGCCTCCCAAAGTGCTGGGATTACAGGCTTGAGCCACCGCGCCCGACCAATTTTTTTGTATTTTTAGTAGAGACGGGCTTTCACCCTCTTAGCCAGAATGGTCTCAATCTGACCTCGTAGGGTAGGGGTTGGCTCCTGTTTTCTAAGAAACTTCAGCCTGTCTTGGGACCTCTGGGTCGTGGTCAAACTGAATTCTTCACTGAGCTGAGTGTTGGTCTGTCCCTCAGGGAACAGAAGACGGAGCATATGACCAGAACCCTGCGGGGAGTGATGCGGGTGGGCCTGGTGGCAAAGGGCCTCCTACTCAAGGGGGACTTGGATCTGGAGCTGGTGCTGCTGTGTAAGGAGAAGCCCACAACTGCCCTCCTAGACAAGGTGGCCGACAACCTGGCCATCCAACTTGCTGTAAGTGTGATGGTCACTGCCGGGTAGGTGGGTGGTTGGTAGGCGTGCTGGTTGAGGATGTGGGGCCCAGGAAGAAGTGTCCAGCTAGGCCATGCTCCAAGAAGCACATGCCAGACTTGCCCTGGCACTTGCTGTGCATGTGTCTTCTCAGTAGGTGACGAGCAGGACACCAACAAGCCACTGAGCTTCTGTGGAACCTGACTGCAGGGGTCATAAGGACCCTGTGCCTATTTTGTGCCAGGCTGCACACAAGCCCAAGGTCATTGGGCATAAACTTCACATCTAGGCTCCATTGGATGGATGGCTAGATAGATAGCAGAGCTGTTACCTCTTCCGTTGGATCCAAAGCTTAAATGTAAAGAATTGTTCTTTTCCTTTTGAGATGGAGTCTTGCTCGGTTGCCCAGGCTAGAGTACAGTGGCTCGATCTCAGATCACTGCAACCTCTACCTCTGAGGTAGACAATTCTCCTACCTCCGACTCCCGAGTAGCTAGGATTACAGGCGTGCACTGCCACACCCAGCTAATTTTTATATTTTTAGTATAGACGGGGTTTCACTATGTTGGCCAGGCTGGCCTCTAACTCCCGACTTCAGGTGATTATTCATCTACCTCAGTCTCCCAAAGTGCTGGGATCACAGCCGTGAACCACAGCACCCAGCTGAAAATCTTTTCTATATGTTTATTTTTATAAATAGAGATGGGTTCTTGCTGTATTGCCCTGGCTGGATTCAAACTTTTGCCCTCAAGCAGTCCTCTCGTCCCCAGCCTCCCACAGTGCTGGGATTAGAAGTGTGAGCCACCACAC